AGCCTCCAAGCCAGGCAGGGAGTTAAATTTTAAAGGATCTAAAACAACACATAGGAGTAAACTTTAAAAGTAATACTTAAATGACCTTGGAATGCTATAGGAGAAATCAGAAATAAGAGCTTTTTTACTCTTGCAATGTTATTTTCAAATTCTACAAGTGACTCAAACAGGAGTATATTATTTACTTACTGAGATAAAGATGTTCAGCAAATTCTCCAGAGTTGGGAGTTGTGGAATCAGTTTCTGAACCACTTTGCTAAAAGCTTCAAATATTGAATGATCATATATGCTTGTCAGATAAAAGCTGAAAGAGGAAACAGTATTTCATCATATTTTCCCTTTGAATGAAGACTAGACTGCCTAGGCTATGTCAGTGCACCAGTAATCTGCCTTCTGTATCTATCGTCCTAACACATACAGTCCAGCCCCTTCAGAATTCACAGTGACTTCGGTGAAAAACAAGCCATTCCTCCCCACCTCCCAAAAAGCCTGAGCTGTGTCTATTCCCATCTGCCAACAGGCAAGCTTAAAACTGCAGCAATCTGTGTTCATCCCAGCTTCCTGACATTCTGCAAGACAATCCAGGCCAGATCATCTTTACACAAGCCTCTTAGGTGTTCATTAGTAACTTATATTCTTGATATTGAAGCAACTAATTTTTTCCATTTTTCCAATTTACAAAATGAATGATGCATATACTACCCACAAAAAAAAGGATGGAGATATTGTTTTCCTTTGTGAGTATTCCTATTTGGATTTTCAGACTACTCCTTTACTTATAATTACAGATAGTATCTTTTTTTTTTTTTTTTTGAGATGGAGTTTCGCTCGTTACCCAGGCTGGAGGCTGGAGTACAATGGCACGATCTTGGCTCACCACAACCTCCGCCTCCTGGGTTCAAGCCTGCCTCAGCCTCCTGAGTAGCTGGAACTACAGGCATGCGCCACCATGCCCAGCTAATTTTATATTTTTAGTAGAGACGGGGTTTCACCATGTTGACCAGGATGGTCTCGATCTCTTGACCCCGTGATCCACCCGCCTCAGCCTCCCAAAGTGCTGAGATTATAGGCGTTACAGATAATATCTTTATCAAGAACTGTAAACTTTAGCATTGACTAACTACTAGAATTATATCATGGCTTTTCTATAATGTGTTTTTCATGTGAGGGGAGAACCTTAGCTTTGACCATTTGTTAAAAAAAAAAAACAAACACCGGTTTCACTAAAGATTAGCATTAGCACGTGCAAAGCTTGTTTTCCCCGAATCCTATCCCAATGTCTACAGCACAAAACAGGGTAAAGAAGGTAAATTACTGCCCATGCCAAGCCAGTCATGCTGACTCCAAACCCCAAACTTGCTTTCTTCCATCCTTTATTGGGATCCTCAAGGGGTTTCTGTTCTCACCTCAGGTGAATTTTTTCTAATCCAGCATCTGCAAGGTCATCGTTTGCCCTCTGGTGAATATCTCTTTGGGTTTCAATTTTGTGGTCATCTGACAGACCATCCACTTTATGAATAAACACCTCGAAGTTGATGTCGGTATTCACTTTGTAGGCCCTGGTCACCGTGAGGTGGAGCCTGGCCAGGGCTTCCATGTAATCGTCCTAGGACCAAAGGCAACACCTGTGAGAGAAGGCCGCTTTGCTTCCTGAACCCCCGACACACAGTCTTCACCTGGAAACCATGTGGCTACAACCCCCCAAAATATGTTGCAAAGGCTCCCCTCAACAAGCTGGCTTCTTAGAATTAAAGAGAGAAAACTTAAGTTCTGTTAACAAAGAGAGGAAAAAGAAAGGCTAAAAAAATGCAGCTGATTTAGGTAGTTATGACCGAGGTTGATGACAGTCATAAAGATCAGAGTTGTGGTTTCAGGAAGAGAAACCCCACTCCACATAAGACCTTCCCTGGAATACTATATCTCCCAGATTTTCCAGTCTTTTGTGAACTATAATGAACAAGTAGAGAAAGAGGCATGATACGGGCCACTGGGCGGATGGGGAAGGAGCTGGAGAGCTGGTTTAGTGCATAAGTCAGCAGACCACAGTCCACAGACCCCTTGCCTGATTTCTTAAAAGTAAGTTGTATTGGAACGTGTTTATTTGCTTTCATATTGCCTAAGGCAGCCTTTGTGCTACAATGGCAGAGTTGAGTAAGTTTCCTCTAGAGAAACTCCTCAGAGACAGTACAGTCTACAAAGCCGAAGATGTTTGCCATCTGGCCCTTTACAGAAAAAGGCCCTGGTCTAGGATAATTGCCCCAAACAACACAATACTAATTTTTTTTTATTCCCATGCCTATATAATGAACACCTGCGTATTCATCTCTGTTTAAAAAAGAAAACATTTACACCAAAGCCCTCTGTGTTTCTCCTCATCCTCCCAACCCATGCCATCCCTCTACCCGCTCATCCTCTAGACACAACCACCATCCCAAGTTTAGTATTTATTCTCACTCACGTATACATTAGTACAGACACAGACATCCCCAAACATCATATAGAATTCATTTATACTGTTTAAAAATGGAAAGAAATATTAAGTTGTATGGATAGTTGGCCTTTTTCATTCAACACTATGTCAGTAAGATTCATCTATGTTGAATGTTATGTAGTGCATAACTATAGTGCAGTAGTTCCTTTTAATGGCTCTATAAAACTTTCTTTCATCGATGGTCTATAATTTATCATATATTTGCCTGCTGATGGACACTGTAAATATTTTCACATATATGTGATTACAATGATATGTGTACAGTCTCATTGGCTTACTCTGAAGGGTGACTTGTTGGGTCATAGGTAGGAGTGCCTTGACTGTACCTGGAAGGGTGTAATAGCATCTGATGCTTCAGACCCGCACCAGCAACTGGTGATGTCGGATCTCTTGTTTATTGCCAATTTAAGGGTGTGAAAAAGGTCTTGTTTTTATGCAAAAAAAAAAAAAAAAAAAGGGAAAGAGCTCTGTAGGACAGAATCTAAATGCCTTTTCCCCCCAATTATGACTCCAAACCTGGAAAATACAGAAAGCCAATATAATTGGGGATGTTTTCTGGCATTCTTCCATGCTCCAAACATCAACAAAAATATATCCCTAGTCTCTAGATAAGTCAAATATTAATTATACAAATAGGAAACTATAAAGAGGAAAAAACAGCAAAAGGAGTCTGTAGGGCACCCACACGTTGGGTGCCAGATGTAGGGCTATGGAGGACCCACTGGGTCGTGGGATGTCCCTTATGCTGTGTTGAGGTGCAGGATCCAAGAGGTAAAGAGACAAGACACTGAAGAACTGGTGAAGAGCATCTGGACTCAGGGGGCCACACTACCTGTGAGCAGAGATCAGCAGCACCCCTCAAATGCCCAAGAGCATCTGTATTTATTAGGTACAAGCAGGGGGTGGGGTCATGTGTGAGATCATTATCTATAGGCTTAGTAATAGGGCATACATAATCACGTGAGTTACAAGTGAGGGGACCACCCCATTATGTCACCTGAGCAGAGAGGTGGGCCGTGCACAGCAGGGGGCTGTGCCATGCGCAGTAGTGGAAGGTCATGTACAGAAAAGGGATTCACCCCCATTAGATCACCAAGGCAAGGAGGTGGGCTGTGTGCAACACTTCTTATCCAGGGGCTGGAGACCTCAAAGGATTTCTAATAGAAGGATACTGTAAGTGTAATGCAGTGGGAACTGATAGACTTGTGCTCTTCTCTTAAGATATTTATGGGAGGATTCTTTGAGCTAGCACAGAAGCGAGAAAAGACTGACCGGGTGTACAGCCACTGTGACTGGTCACACCAGAGAGTTTCTTCTCCCTCGGTTACTTCCAGGATCTCAGGCCTGAGGCCTACTTTCCATAGGAACTGGATGCAAGGTACTGCAATTCCTTTATCAGGAGGAGAGGCGCTTGCTCCAAACCTCCCCTTTCAGGCAGGGATGCCACCGCCTGGATCTTTGGTTCTCATCCTGATCTGGCTGTTTTCCCATGTACTGCTTCTGTTCTGTGACTGTTCTAGGCATTTCTCCTACTACTGACTACTATATGGTTATATAGAAGGATTATGTAAATCAGCACTAAATGTGTCAGTACAGCTCTGACTACAATACCTATATGATTATATTGAAAGATTATATAGAACTAAGTATGCTAGATATATGTAAGCAGTAAGTTACACTTCAAGCACTAATTCTATAAACTAATATATGATTATATATGAAGGATTAGATAAAGGAAACAGCTGAGCAATAACACTATAAACTAAGATATTCTTCAGGCACTAGTTGTGCCTGGGGTCTGGACAGTTCTTCCTCGGTGCCCATGGGGGGTGTTACCCACGGGAGTCCTTCCTATCCTTGACACTCTAAAGAGTTGTTTAGAATAAAAAACAAAAGCCAGGAGCAGTGGCTCGCACCTATAATCCCACCTACTGGAGAAGACTGCTTGATTTCAAGACCAGCCTGGGCAACACAGCGAGACCCTCATCTCTAAAAATATACATATACAAAGCCTAAGATATATATATAACCAGGCTTGGTGGTGCACACCTGTAGTCCCAGCTACTCGAAGACAGAGGCAGAATTCCTTGAGCCCAGGAATTTGAGGTTACAGTGAGCTAAGATCATGCCACTGCACTCCAGCCTGGGTAACAGAGTGAGAGCCTGTCTCAAAAATTAAATGAAAGGTAGATGTCAGGCACTGGGTCAGCAGATTAAGCATTAAAAATGAAAGGTATTACCGTAGGTCCCACATAGATGAAATTCTATAAAAGGCAAACTGAAGTGTCAGAAAGCACTTCAGTGGTTGCCTGGGGCTGAATGTTTCAGGGGACCACTTGAGAAAGCACACAAGGGAAACTTTGGGGTGGAGGAAATACTCTATATCTTTAATGAGACGTGGTTATATGGTGTACACATTTGTCAAACCTGTTGAACTGTGCACTTAAAATGAGTGCATTTTATTGTGTGTAAATTATACCTCAAGAAAAGTCTTATCCCTGTCTTTAAGGAGGAGAATTAAAGGAACATGTCTGTGAGCAAAACTACCCAATGTCAAGAGAGAATCATATCTCCAAAGACTGGAAATTGCTACTCTAACCTCCCTGTCAAGCATATAAAATGGTCTGATTACCAACTAACTGATAAAGCAGCATGTAGCTCCAAGGACTAAAAAGAAAATACTTGATTGGTTAGAGCAGAGGGATTGCAGGTGATTTTTCCCATTGTTTATTACTTCCTATGACAAACAGAAATTAAGGTGAAATACACTGCATAGTTTCTACTCTGAAACTAGATCTGGGAATTATGGGCAGGTCACAAGCACCAGCACAGATCAAGAAGAAACTCTCTTTTGGATCCATAGGCACACGTGCAATGGCTTCAGGAGAAATGGTGCATTCTGTAGGCTGCAGAGCGGGGCTGGGGTGTCACCATAGATCATGGGAACCACTCTTGCTTTCATTCTTTTTTATTTCATGACATTCTGTGAGGACACATTTCCTCCCTGGGGATATATTTATCTGGCAATCCTGTGATTGTGAGGAATTTACAAACAAAATAATATGAGGTGTGAGACCAAAATAGCACTGCTTAGAAATAAAGGAAAGGACACTCAAGTGCTGCAGAGATACTTCCCTAAAGTTTTGATTTTCCTGTCAGTGCGTCTAATCACATCCCATTAAGATTCCTGCAAACACGATTTTTACACTCTGCTTCCAACAGAAAAGTATATCAAGTTTTGAAACTGCTTATTTTATTATTCCTTGTTTTAAATAAATTACAGCATTCAACAATGTTTTTCCTACTTTTTATTTTTATATGTGATTTTTTTTCTCTTTTTGAGATAGGGTCTTGCTCTGTCACCCAGGCTAGAGTGCAGTGACAGAATCATAGCTCACTGCAGCCTCAAACTCCTGGGCTCAAGTGACCCTCCTGCCTTGGCCTCCCAAAGTGTTGGGATTATAGACATAAGCCATTGTGTCCTGCCTCTTACTCTTTATAAAAAGTATAATTTTAGAAAATGAACTTCTAAAACATTCCTATATCTTTCTCTACCCCACAGCTTAAAAAACAAACAAACAAAACACCCAAGAGAAGAGCCAAGCATAGTAGCATGCATCTGTTATCCCAGCTACCTGGGAGGTTGAAACAGGAGGATCACTTGAGCCCAGGAGTTTGAGGCTGTGTTATAATCACACTTGTGAATAGCCACTGCGCTCCATCCTGGGCAACATAGTGAGACCTCGTCTGAGAAAAAAAGAAAAACCTCGAGAAACAAAATTAAAATAAAAAACACATTTACCAACCTAAACTGAAGGTCTGCTTTTAATTTAAAAATAGGCAGATATACCTATTTTAGCCATATTATAGCCAACTTACAAACACCTAAAATAGATTACACTGGAAATCTGAATTCCCATAAATGCAAATTGCTGTGTAAGCACAACATGGTATTTAAGTAAGTACTTACTAACCCATTGTCTTGTAATGATGAGTCATCTGGTTGGAAATCTACTCACCCATGGGTAAGGACTACTACAGCTACCCAGTTCAACAACTACAGAAACAGCTGCTGCGTGACTTAGGGAGAAAAATGGAGCTGAGAAGAGACACATGAGCATGATATCCCTGGAGCCTCCCCTTCCCTACAGCAGCGTGCATACACCCCCTCCACTCCCCTCAGGCTCTTAGCTCCCTAATTTATGGTGCTGGCAGACCTGAGACAGGAAGGCAGGGGATACTGCCAAGACCACAGATGGTCCAGAAAACAGGTCAGTACAAGTGGGACAGTCAGGAAAGCAGCTGCTGACAGCAGGCCCTGGACATGGTTTAGGTAAAACACTCATTTCTGGAGGGCCTATAAGAAGAGAGTAAACTAGTGATCACAGATTAGGCACTGGATTTGAAGTCTCCCTCCTCCACACCCCTACCAAAAAGGAAAGAAATAACCCCTTTAACCATATGGCCATGCTCCCACAGCCATACAAGTACATAATGCAGCCGCTTGGGACTGAGAAGCTTAGTTGAAACTTTTGTTATTATATTAAACAGGCACCTAGCTCCTGAATGAACGTATGATCTTCTCAGGCAAGGGGAGTCTACTTAGAGGATGGTCTAGCATGGGCTCAGAATGATATTATCAGGAACAGTCTTTGTAACACCGCAGCCCTACCTAGAAGGGCCAGGTGTGCTTAGCCAGGTGATGCACACCCACAGCTGGCCAACTTGTCTCACTGTGGGTCCACAGTTCCAGGGAAATGGCACAACTTGAACCTCAGAGTTGGTTCAGCACATGCTGAGAAGGGCTGATGCCATTTATTTCCCCCCAGCTGCAAAAGGGAGCCCTTGGGGAGACTTCAGGCTGGGCCATGTGTCCTGGGCACTCTCTAAGAGCCCCAAACATGGCTAGTTTGGAAAGCACCAATGCCCCTATCCTGCTGCACATCTCCTTCCTAAAATGTATCTGCCTGACATGCACCTGTAGTCCTACTGTCTCCCTTTGCCTCCTCCCCATTACCCCAATGACAGTAGAAAAGCCCCAGAATATTAAAAAATCCAGGGTGCCAAGGAGCCAGTGTGGAATGCTGGAAGAGAACCTGATAAAGGGAATGACTGGTGACTGGGAATAGGGCTCTTCACCAGCCAACAGGTTCCCAATTCTTTGCTTCTGACAAAGTGGAAGGAGAACCTACTCTGGAAGCCTGTTGACAAACCCTACTAAAAATACTTTTTCGTGATGGGAACCTGGGTAATTTAGGGGATGTAACTTGGAAGGAATCTAAGTAGCTGGACAAATGCGGGAACAAAACTCACCTCATATCCACCTACTTATGTGAACAAAGTTTCTCGGTGCTTATAACCACATTTAAAAAAAATAGAACTCATGCCAAATATGGTCTTATTCAAGCATGGATCCATCAAGTGGACAAAATATCAAATACCCATCTTCTTAAGAGAGCTCTTTATCTCAAATTTTACTTTTTATATTTAATAATTATGAAATATATAATAGAATTATATTGTCTTAAGCAATAATTATAATGTTTCAGAAAAATTTTCACACCTAGAACTTTATCTTCATAGGAAATAATAAAAGAGTTATGTAAACTTATATACATGTTTTCATTGCAGAGAACCTGTAATCTTTTGTAGATGCTGACCAAGGGCACCATAGTAGGGATGACATGTTTGGCCTGAATGGGCCTCTCCATCAGTGGGGTTTCCTAGGCTATGATTTGCTGAAGTACCAATGGTTCCCTAATGCTCAGTGGGTTGACTATTAGTCAAGGTGAAGCCCTTTTACTTTTGCAAAGTCTGACAGCCCTAACCAAGAAACACTTGTTTGGCAGACAGGCCTATTCCAGAGTTTAAAAAACAAACCAAATACATGGGGCGGCGTGGAGGGGACTGGCCGGGACATCATAGCCCTGAGACTGAGCTGTACCTGGGAGTCAATGACAAATATCAGTGCTCCTGTCCCCCGGAAGATCATCTCATAGTCAAACGTAGGGTCAAAAAAGTCGATCTGTCCTGGGAAGTCCCAAATCTGAAAATTGACAAAGGAGCTGTTGGAAACATCTTCCCGGCATATCTTGTTAGTGCTCTCCAAGAACAGGGTTTCGTTGGGAGACATTTTGTGAAAGACAACTTTCTGAATAGACGACTTGCCGCTTCTCCTCAGGCCCATGAGCAGGATTCTCGGCTTCACCTCAGTGCTGAAGGGGTCACTGAAGTCCAGAACTGGAGAAACCACAAAATGAGAATGAGGGTGAGACGCTTTCACAGCGGTTAATTAGAGGAGTTTCACTTCCCCCTCAAATGTGATTTACGATTCACAGATGATGCTACTCTTCCAGAGAGTACTAACTGCCTCCCTCCACTCACCGAGGGGACAGCTTTTGGTAAATGCAAAACACTCAACAATGCAGTCTTGCTACTTCTCATACAGTCCCGGGGGCCAGACACCAACATAATGCCACATCACAAGCAGGGACTCTGAGTGCAAAGAGAGAGATTTCCTGGAACACACTGTCTGTGGAAAGAATCCAGATCTGAGCATTCAGGCATATCGTTCTCTGAGAAGTCATCACTAAAGAGATGCTTGTTGATGTGAGTTATGCCTCTCTGTCACCCTCCTCTGGCTAGCGCTCTCCCAAGCCATGAAGGCCTGGAAAATGGGCCCTGGACTAGATGTTGCAGGTTTGGACTGTGTTACACAGCAGATGCCAAGTCTGTAAGAGGCAGACATCTCTCAGGACTACCCTGGCTTGGGACCCCCATCCAGTAAGGTAGCTACTAGCCAAATACAGTATTTAAATTAAAAATAATTAAAATTAGAAATTCAAATCCTCCTCCTGTGAGGTTTCTAGAGAAGTCAAATTCATAGACACAGAATGTTGGATAGTGGTTTCCAGGAGCTGCGGGAAGAGAGGAATAGGGAGTTCTTGTTTAATGGGTACGTAGTTTCAGGTGGGGGAATATAAGAAAGTTCTGGACGTGCCTGGTGGTGGTGAGGGGCACATAACAATGTGAATGCCACTTCTGGCAAGTGGCTAACATATTGGACAGCACAGACAGAGCAGTAGATCCCAACCTTTGGGCACTCGGGACTAGCTTCATGGAAAACAATTTTTCCAGGGACCAGTGGAGTGGTAGGGGTGGTTTCAGGATGATTCAAGTGCATTACATTTATTACGAACTTTATTATTATTATATCATCCTATATAATGAAGTAACTCTGCAAGTCAGCGTAATGTAGAATCAATGGGAGCCCTAGGCTTGTTTTCCTGCCAACTAGACAGTCCCATGTGGGGGTGACAGTGACAGATCATCAGGCATTACATTCTCATAAGGAGCACACAACTTAGATCCCTGGCATGTGCAGTTCACAACAGCGTTTGCACTCCTATGAGAACCTAATGCCATGGCTGATCTGACGGGAGGCGGAGCTCAGGCAGTAATGAGAGCAATGGGGAGTGCCTGTAAACACAGACGAAGCTTCGCTTGCTCGCCCACCGCTCCCCTCCTGCCATGCGGGCCAGTTCCTAACAGAACACAGACTGGTGCAGGTCTGTGGCCCCAAGGTTTGGGAATCCCTGACACAGAACATTCTTATCCTCACAGAAAGTCCTAGAGGCCAGCACTACAGCAGTCCCTGGTAACAAAACTCAATCTTAAAATCCTTTGCTAATGGTCCTAGAAGGATTAGGCATTACTTGATAAAATTAGTAATTGGTGCCCCAAACCCTGTAGGGTTCTCTTTTTTCTCTGTTCTTGAAATATTTAGTATTAATTCCACAATGTTCTTAAGTCCTAGAAAACCACTAAATTGCTAAGCAGCCTTCCTTCCTCATTGATCAAGAACGTGTACATTTCACAGACGTAAAGGAAGCACAGACCAGTGGTTAAGTGTTAAGGCTCTGAAGTCAGCAAGACTTGGGGTTTAAGCTCTCAGACCTTGAAAAAGATACTTAGCTTTAGAGTCTCAATTTCCAAATCTATAAAATGGACTTGATAATGAAAATAAACATCTCATAGGGCTGTTACAATAAATGAGATCAAGGACCTAAAATAATTACTAAAACTAAGATTCATTCAGCAAATGGTGCTGGGCCAACTGGATATCCACACACAAAAGAATGAAGTTAGACCCTTATGTCATACAAAAATTATATACATATACAAAATCTAACTCAAATGGATCAAACATCTAAACTGGAGAGCTAAAACTGTGAAACTCTTAAAATGAACTAAGAAGGAAACATAGGCGTAAATCTTGGCGACCTTGCATTAGGCAATGGTTTCTTATCTATGACAGCAAAAGCACAAGCAACTACAGAAAAAAATAAACTAGACTTCATAAAAAATTTTTCAAGTGAAAAGACAACCTACAGAATGGGAGAAAACATTTGCAAATCATACACGTGATAAGAGTCTAGTATCCAGAATATATAAAGAACGCTTATAATTTAATAATAAATGACAACCCAATAAAAAATGAGCAAAAGATATGAATAGACATTTCTCCAAAGAAACACTAAAGGTCAATAAACATATGAAAAGGTGTTCCATGTCCTTAGCCACCAGAGAAGTACAAGTAAAAACCACATTGAGATGCCACTTCACACCTACTAGGATGGCTATAATCAAAATAACAGATAATAACAAGTGTTAGTGAAGATGTAGAGAAACTGGAACCTTCATATGCCACTGGTGGGAATGCAAAATGGTGCACTTTGAAAAACAGTTTGGCAGTTCCTCAAAAGATTAAACATAGGCTGGGCATGGTGGTTCCCACCTGTAATCCTAGCACTTTGGGAGGCTGAAGCAGGAGGGCTGCTTGAGGCCAGGAGTTCAAGATCAGCCTGGGCAACATAGTAACACCCCATCTCAGGCCGGGCGCGGTGACTCACGCCTATAATCCCAGCACTTTGGGAGGCTGAGGTGGGTGGATCACGAAGTCAAGAGATTGAGACCATCCTGGTCAACATGGTGAAACCCCGTCTCTACTAAAAATATAAAAAATTAGCTGGGCATGGTGGCGCATGCCTGTAATCCCAGCTACTCGGGAGGCTGAGGCAGGAGAATTGTGGTGAGCCAAGATCGCGCCATTGCACTCCAGCCTGGGTAACAAGAGCGAAACTCCGTCTCAAAAAAAAAAAAAAGACCCCATCTCTACAAAAACTTCAAAAATTAGCTGCATATGGCAGCATGCATCTGTAACTCCAGGTACTCAGGAGACCAAGGTGGGAGGATCCCTTGAACCCAGGGGCTTGAGGCTGCAGTGAGCCATGATCACGCCACTGTACTCCAGTTTGGGTGATAGAGTAAAACTTTGTCTCAAAAAAATATATACAATGGAATATTATTCAGCCATAAAAAAGGAATAAAGTACCGATTCATGCCACAATATGGAT